TGAGTTGGAGTCTCACTCTGTTGCCCAGACTAGAGTGCAGTGGCTGCTCCCGGCCACTGCAGCCTCGACCTACTGACTGGGCTCTGGTGATCCTTCTGCCTCAGCCTTCCAAGTAGCTGGAATTACAGGCAGGTGCTACCATGCCCGGCTGATTTTTTTTTAATTATTATTTATTGTAGAGATGAGGTCTCGCCAAGTTGCCCAGGCGGGTCTCAAATCTGCAAGCTCAGGCAATTCATTCACCTCAGCCTCCCAAAGCGCGGGATTACAGGCTGAGCCACTGAGCCCAGCTTCGATTTATTAATGATGGCCATCCTTACTAGAGTTAGGTGGTATCTCAGTGTGGTTTTGATTTTTTATTTCTCTGATGATTATTTTTCATCAGAGAATCTTTTTCACATATCTGTAGGCTGCACATATGTCTTCAGAAGTGTCTATTCATGTCCTCTGCCCATTTTTATTTTTTTAATTTATTTTTTATTTTTTAATTTTTTATATTTTTTTTGAGTTGGAGTCTCACTCTGTCACCCAGACTGGAGTGCAGTGGCCGCTCCTGGCCACCGCAGACTCAACCTGCTGGGCTCCAGTGATCCACCTCAGCCTTCCGAGTGGCTGGAATTTCAGGCACGCCCTACCACGCCTGGTTAATTTTTGATTTATTGTAGAGATGAGGTCTCACCAAGTTGCCCAGGTGGGTCTAGAACCTGCAGGCTCAGGCAATCCACTCACCCCGGCCTCCCAAAGCGCTGGGATTAGAGGCTGAGCCACCGAGCCTGACTTCTGCCCATTTTTTATAGGGCAGTTTATTTTTTCTCCTTTGGTTCATTTGAGTTCCTTGTAGATCCTGGATTAATCTTTTAATTTGTTGTAGAGAAAAGGTTTTGCTTTGTTGCCCAGGCTGGTCTTAAACTCCTGACCTCAAGCAGTCCTCCCACCTTCCCAAAGTCCTGGGATTACAGCCGTGAGCCCCTTTGCCTTTCTTAACAGGATTTATTTCAGAGCCACATTACTCAGTTTAGAGACTTTGATTTTGTTGTTGTTTTTGTTTTGTTTTCTTTTGTTTTGTTTTTTTTAAGAGAGACTGGAGTCTCACTGTGTAGCCTAGGCTGGGGTGCAGTGGCACAGTCATGGCTCACTGCTGCAACCTCAAACTCCTGGTTTCAAAGGATTATCCTGCCTCAGCCACCAGAATAGCTAGGACTGTAAACACATGTCACCAT